AAAAAATAGTTTAATTTTTTATTCTTTAAACTAAGGAATGAAAGAAAAAAATAAAATAAGAATAAGAAATTCAAATAATTATAATAAAAGAAGTCAAAAAATAATTTATGTATGAAAAAAATTAAAATATACCTTGAACTTTGATAGAAGAATCATATATACCCCTAAATAATTTTAAAAAAATTCAGAAGTAATAAATATAAATTTAAAACTAATTTCTTAACTTCCGTTAAATGAAGGGTATATGTGAGTAATTTTGTAACGAGAGGGGTATATACGAGCCGTTTGTATAACGGTAAGAGCATATACGAGTCACTTTTATAACGAGAGTATATCAGCTCCAAATGACAAAGTTGAGGGGTATATGAGACACTTTTCCCTTTATAATAAATATAATTGGTAGCTTAAAAAATAGAGTAAATTTATAAGTAGATTGACTGGGTAAAGCACTAAAAAGGGTGTATTATTCTGAAGCATTAAATATAATCTTGATAGATAATTAACAATAGACTCGACTCGAGATTTGCAGAATCCCAGCCCTGATTCACACTCCGAACCTAATTCTTGACTCCGAGTTGAGATCTGACTCTCAATCCCAACCTTGTCACGAGACTCAACTTACAAACTCCCTATCTCACCTACCAATCTCTGTCCCGAACTAGTCTATCGAACCAAACTCCATACCCGAACCTGAGACCCAACCCATTCCCCTACCTTGACTTGATTTTGGGTCATTATTTTTGGATTGCGGATCCGGATTTTACATTTAAGTGGATCCGGGTTAAGTTTGTTGGTTAAATCTATTAATTAATAAAAATTTCAACCAATATATGAAATAAAAATCCTAATTTTGATTTTCTCTAAATCCCAAATGGCATATAACAGATCAGAGAGACTGATGAAATTAAGTGAAAGGCTTCGTTTATATAACCAAAATTCAAAAATTGAAGAATTGGGGACAGATAATAGTAATAGTAATTCAATAAGATCCAAATCAAACAGAGCTGCAGTTTTGGTGTGTCTATTTGAAGACCCACAAGAAAATCTTCGTGTAATCCTCACCAAAAGAGCTTCAACACTTTCTTCATACTCAGGTAAGTATTTTTGCGAGTTTCATATCTGAACTATCAGTTCGTTATCGCAAGTGTTTGAATGTAATCACAATGGTTCAATTTTGCCCATAAAATTTTGTCTTAATGATAATAACTTAATTGTGGTTTGGTATGAAAGGAAAATATTTTGGACAATGTTTTTCTAGAAAATGTTTTTCTGCAAAACAAATAGATTTTGGACTTATTTTCTCATGTTTGGTTGGTGAGTAGAAAATATTTTTCGGAAATGATTTTTAGTGTTTGATTTATGAATGAAAAATATTTTTGAGGAACATCTTTTATTTTTTTTTATTTTTACTAGAATACAAAAATAATTTATGAAATTGAAAATATTTTTTAAAAATAATTTTTTTTAGTGGTGGTATAGGAGGTGGGGTAGTGGGGCGGGGGGGGGGGCTGGTAAGGGTGCTGGCCGGGAGAGGAGAGGTAGGAACTTAAAAATAAAAATTTGGAGTTAATATTTTAAAAAAAGCAAAATTAATTTTTTGGGGAGGGGGCCAGGGGGTGGTGGTAAAAGATCGGGTTAAAAAATTAAATTTTGATATTGAAAATATTTTTTTTTAAATTGATCTTCCCAAGAAAATGTAATTTGAAATAGGAGGAGAGCTTTGAAAAATGTTTTCCTTACTTTTCTAAGGGAAGTCATTTTCCTTAATTTTGAGGTAAATGAGTTGATTTGAAAAATATTTTCCAAAACTTTTGCCCCAACCAAACATGAGAAAATTGGAAAACATTTTCCAGAAAATGTTTTCCTTCATACCAAACACACTCTAAATATGTTTGTAAATGACCCTAAACGCTGTAGTGACATTAGATCTTATCATAATGTACTAATGCCGGTAAAGGCTAATAACATTCTTTGTTATCGTGTAAATTTTTTTGGTTTGAAGTGTATGAAAAGCAAACATTTGATAGTTTAGGTTAGAAACTCGTAAACATTGTAGGGAAAATGCATAACTACCCCCAACCTATGTCCGAAATCTCAGAGACATAGTTATATTATACTAAGATGTTATTACCCCTGAACTTATTTTACAAATAATTTCTACCCCTTTTCGGCCTACGTGGCACTAGATTGAAAAAAATATCAACACGCGCTGGGCCCACAAGATAATGTCACGTAGGCCGAAAAGGGTAGAAAATTATTTATAAAATAAGTTTAGGGGTAATAGGACCTTAGGATAGTGTTTATGTGTCTCTGAGATTTCGGGCATAGGTTGGAGATACTTGTGCATTTTCGAAACTTTGTATGGTGAACTATCTTTAACTAAGTTAAAACACTTATTAGAGAACTTTTAATATTATTATTGCTATTATTTTTATATGTATATTTGACTCATTTTTACTTTTGTTTTATTTTGTACGATGATGATATGAAATGAGTTTAAACGAAATAGCAAGGATTCATATAGCTAAGCTCTACTTGTTTGAGGTCTGAGCCAATACTTTTGAGCCAATTGCGACATTTGAAACTCAAGGATGATGAGAGTCGTTCCTTTGCCCTTCTCCACTTAAATACTCGATTTAGTTCACTTGGCACGATGCTTTAATTTGTGACCTAAGATACAAGTTCCTCAACCTCTCAGTCTATTGTTTTTAGGTGAAGTTGCTTTGCCTGGTGGAAAAGTAGAAGAAGGTGATGCCGATGACATTGAAACAGCTCTGAGGGAGGCCGAGGAGGAGATCGGATTAGATCGTTCACTTGTAGATGTTGTCACTGTTCTTGAATCCTTTACCGCCAAGGTAATGCAGTTATCTTCATTAGCGATCATTTGAGACATTATTTTGTGTTCATTTCCTTTTAAGGTAGGTGTAAGTTCTACGTACACTTTACCCTCCCAGACTGATTACATTGTGTATAAGGATGGTTCATTTTCTTACATCAACGTTGAAAGGACCATATATATGCCAAGAACAGAGTTTAAGTGATCTGTTATGTTTTCGGAACTCATGATCAATGCTTAGCTGATATAAGAAGTTACAGTTGCAAGTTTTAAATGCAAACTTTTCAGTTTCATTTCGTGGGATAGCACAGTTCTGTTGCATTGATGCTTATGGTATGATATTGTTGTTTTGTTTTTCCTCAGAAGGGAATTACAGTGATTCCAGTTGTGGGCATACTTTGGGATCGGAGCGCGTTCAACCCGTTGATAAACGCTGCAGAAGTGGCATCAATATTTGATGCACCTCTGGAAATGTTTCTTAAGGTTAGTAAAGTCTACAAACTCTTCTCTTTTCGTTTACAAGTTTCGTCTTCACTTGCTCTTACAATGAATTATTGGTTGATTTAGGATGAGAATCGACGAGAGCAAGAGTTTGAACACATGGGAGATAAGTATGTAATCCATTTCTTTGATCATCAAACAGAGAATGAGAAGTATATAATATGGGCTTTTACTGCTGCTATTTTGATTAAAGCTGCATCGATTGTGTACCAACGTCCCCCTGATTTTCAAGAACGAAGACCTAGATTTTGGAACAGAAGTCGTCAATGAAAGATGTTAGTGTCCTTTGAACTTTGAACATAAGAGGTTGTTCCTTCAAAGTTACATAAATATGTCTCCATATGTATTTATAGCCATTGCTCTCTGTGAAAGTATATTCTGTTTGGGCCAACTTGCGTGCACCTCTACTATTGCATATTTGTCTTCCAAAGTACAGGTAGATGAAAAGGCATTACGTAATGTATTTTGTCTCTGCTGGAACTTGAACCGTAGGAGAGTTCTTTGGTATGAAGAAGTGATACTCCCACCAAAGATTGACTATGGGGTTCATTTTAGAGTCAGACCAAACGAGGCGAGGCCAGAGATACAACATTGGGAACCTTAGGCCAAAGATTGATAACAATCAAAGACCAGTAAGTTTAAGTACAGGTGAATCTGAACACATTTCTTAAGCACAGTACACAGACAATCTTCAGTTTTGACAATGGTCAAATCTTTAGATGATTTGAGAAATGGAAAATTAAGACAAAAACAAGTATGTTGCTCTATAAAACAGCTTGGTGCAGGGAAATGTTTACCCAAAGAAGAAAGCTATTTGTCTCCTTAGCCAAAAACCTCGTAAAATTTCTCAACAACAAGTAAACCTGAGTCGATAGATTCCAACGGATCCTTCCTAAGTCTGTGTCTTAAGCAGTTGGGAATGACAGTGGCGATATCTTCTGGGGTTACCTTATCTCTTCCTTTAAGTGCAGCCAATGCTCTTGCTGCTCTGTTAGTGACTATATCACCTCTCAATCCATCGACATTCAGTTCTGCACAGACCTTAGAGATTTTAACGCGGAGATCATGATCAATCGTAACAGAAGAAAGCCCGCTCCTGGCTGAGGTGATTTGGCTCTGGAGCTTTTCTTGCTCCCCCTTGTATGATTCCCGGAATTCCTTGGGGTTCTTGTCAAAACGACCTCTTTCCTCGACGATCTTCACTCTTAGTTCTGCATCTCTCACAGTCCCGACTTGGGCATGCATTCCAAATCGATCAAGAAGCTGTGGCCTAAGTTCTCCTTCTTCAGGATTACCTGAACCAATAAGGATAAATCGAGCAGGGTGTGAAATTGATATTCCCTCTCTTTCAACAGTGTTCCATCCTGATGCTGCAGAATCCAAAAGAACATCTACTAAATGGTCGTCCAAAAGATTAACCTCGTCGACATAAAGTATTCCTCTGTTAGCTTTAGCAAGAAGACCAGGCTCGAATGCCTTCACACCCTCGGTAAGAGCTTTCTCAATGTCGATTGTCCCACACACCCTGTCCTCAGTAGCACCTAGTGGTAAATCAACCATGTTGATTTTGGTGAGAGACACAGGAAGCTGCTCTCCCTTCCTCAATTTGTCACGGACTTCAGCGCTCATTACTTCTTGGTCATCTGGATCTGAATTAAATGGATCACCAGAAATAACTTTTATTTCTGGAAGTAAATCCACCAAAGACCTAACCGTGGTGGACTTCCCAGTTCCTCTATCACCCATAATCATCACGCCTCCAATCTTTGGATCTATTACATTCAGCAAAAGACACAACTTCATCTCATCTTGCCCCACTATGGCGGGAAATGGATACACCGGTCTCTGGCTGTCTTCAGCAAGTTTCTGAGCCTAAAAATTACAAAGTAGGTAAAACCTTATCAATATACTTGGTACAACAACAACAACATACACAGTATAGTCCCACAGAATGGGGTCCGCGGAGGGTTGAGTGTACGCGGACAGACCTTACCCGTACCTTAGAGGTAGAGAGGTTGGTTCTGATAGACCCTCGGCTGAAGGATAAACAGTCCAAAACAGTCCTAAAAAGGAATCAATATACTTGGTAAATCCCCCCTCCCCCAAAATAAAATGGGTTGCAAATACATTGCCTTCCAAATAAATCATTTTGCCCAAGTGTTGTAAATTTCTAAGCTGAACCTAACAAAACTATTTTGAATTCGACTTCTGATAATCCTTGCCCTGAAACTTAATACTCCCATGAGCTATTTGGTATGACAATCTTTCCTCTTTGGGACATCATAACATGATTGACATCATTTTTGTAAAACTTTTACAATGTTAAAGAACTCGAATAAACTCTTATCTGAAACAGTCTCTACTACATCCACAAGGTAATGGTAAGGTATGCATACACTCTACCCTCCTCACACCGACCCCACTTGATGAATTCCCTGGGTATGTTGTTATATCCAAAGTTACTTCGATATCATGTTTCCTTTGTCAAACTAATTTTGAACTCTCCGTGTAACATTCATTTCCACCATCAATAATACAATACTCCCTCCGTTTCAATTGATTTGTTTTGCTTACCTTTTTAGTCCATTTAATGAAAAAATGTCTCCTTTTAATTCTAACTTTACACATGACATGTTTAAGACCACAAGATTAAAACGATCTTTAGTTTAAGATCACAATATTCAAAAGTCTTCTTTTATTTTCTTAAACTCTATGCAGAGTCAAAACTAGAGAAACAAATTGAAACTGAAACGGAGGGAGTAGACAAAGGGGCAGTGTCCAAGCTTTTCAGCAAACATCTTATATGCATTTTAATAATCTTCCCACCTCTCACACAATATTGCTTCATAGCCTCAACTTAAATTCTGTAAAAGAACTCCACAACCAAACACCCAAACCCCACATTATTATATAGAAAATAGAAATCTTCCACACAAATTACCCAAACTGTTTAGCAAAAACACCTGATGAAATCACCATATCATGAAAAATTGGTACCTGTTCTTGAGCAGGGCTGATTTCAGTTGCAACATTGGAAATTGCCACATGGAATTGGGACCTCCCTTTCTTAACTGGGAGTCTAATTCCTCCATAAAACTTCCTCCCTTGGCTATGTCCTACAACAACAATGCCCATCAATTCATACTTAACCCATAAAAAAATACGGTGAAATCCCACAAAATAGAGTCGAGGGTATACACAATCCTTATCACTACCTAGAAAGATTGTTCCCGAAAAACCCTCAGCTCAACAAAGTTAATAAAACGAAACGAACAAGTGAAGTGACATCACAACGAATAGCAAATCAGTAACAACTATATGCAAGGAACCGTAACAACATCCACAAAATACGATCACCTAAACACAGTAAACCTCATAAAATACGAATACCAAAAAAATCCAAAAACTACCTGAATACACAAATGCTCTATACTACCAAGAGTCCAAATTCACAAACTCTCAAAAACCAATTCAAAGTATAGATATCAAAAAAATGTAAAACACCCATTACACAGTAGGAACAAAATCAGAACAAAAATATAAATCTTTACAATTAAAAAAAAAAAACACTTACCCATCAAAATTGTAGCTCATAATCAACAACCAAGAACCCAAAAATTCACAAAAAAAACTCAAACCCAATTCAAAGGAAAACTAGAAATGGCATAATATACAAAAAATTTGAACACCCACTAACAATGCGAACACAATTAGTTGAAAAAAACACATTTATTTAAATACCTGAAGATGGGAAAAGGGATAAAGCAGCAGACTTAGAGGAACGAGAAGTGAAGGGTGTAGAAGCTAAAATTGCTGCTGCAGAAGAAGAAGAAGAAGTTCCCAATAGTGAAGCCATTTCAGTGAAGAAGAAGAAGAAGTTTTGGCATCAGTGTATTGGTCACTGCTTACTACTACTAACTAATGGCTTGTGTTTGTGTCTTTGGATAAGACGATAGATTTCCGGGTCATACTTTTATTGGACTTTCATGGATTCATGGGCTCATTAATTTTCGACTTCAAATTTGGGTATTTTGATCATGTTTTTTTTTTTTAAGTAATTTTAGGTTTAGCAAACATAAAAATAATATTATGCTTTATAGCTATATTTATGTTATTTGCACTTCATAATAAACCACATTTGATTGTATAAATTTGGTGTCTGTGTCTATGAAAATTATGTTTGAATATGTATATGTACTTTGTGATTGTATATCTGCATTAAAGTTTGAATTCGTATACAATTTAATCGAGTTAAAATAGTTATATTTGTATATCAAATTTTTTTTCTCGATTTATACAAACACAAATTATATATTGTATTTTGTATGATTTGTGTTTGTGTAAAAAAAAGAGAGGAAGGCAAAAGAGAAATGGGTGGGAAAGATTTGTATTGTATAAGTATAAGTGTATAGGGCTAAGTGATGTATATTTGTATATACAGTTTTCTCTCGCTTTATATAAATACAAACACAATTTATACATTTGTGTTTGTATAAAGTGAGAGAGGCGGAGGAGAGTGGTGAGCGAGATTCTGGGGAGAGAGGTAAATGGCAAAGTGTTCACTACAAATTAGATGAAACTATGGTTGTATCATTTATTTTAAATTAATAATTTGTTGTTTCATATAATTTTCTCTTTTTTTTCGTTGAAAAATTACCTAAATACACATCTTATTTAATTATATTTTTCAAAATTTCCTACCCTTTTAAAGGTTTTTTTGTAATTTGAAAAAGAAATTTTGGAGGGGGGGGGGTGTTTTTTTAAAAGGACATGTATCAAAAAAAAAATCACAGGTTGGCTTTTTTTTCCTCTATGATATTATCACAGTATATTATAGTATATGAATATACTTTGATGGTGTCAAAGAGTAAATAAGCAGTGTCTTCATTGTAGGATTGCTTCTTCCTCCTAAATACCATCAATGTATTATATACTCTTATGATATAAATGAGTAACTGAACAATATTTTCATTGAAGCTTGCTTTAGTCCTTCAATGAGATTACTCAATTATCCATGATATTACTATAGTAAATCTACATACTGTTGTGGTATCATTGAGATATGTTTTGATATTTTAATATTTTAATTTTAAAAATTATAATTTCTACTAATTTAGAGTTTAATAACTAAGATTGTGAATTTAATAATTTTCTCTTAATTGTTTTTTTTTGTTTATTTCTCAACAAAAGAGTCTAATTCGATACCAATAGGATATCAATATATCAACGAAGTATCATAGATTAAATTAAGCTCGATCCTATATAATATCGATGTGGTGTCTACATACCAATGGAATATCACAGAGGATTAATCATAGTAGTAATGTTATGTTGATATCATACACGAAATAATAAAGGAGAAAGTGGACTAAGCAGGTTAACAGTTTGGGTCATTTATCTATTAAGGCTAAATCGTTTCGGTTGAATTTAATTTGGATAAATAATTTCATGATAAGGTCTATTTTTTGTAGTTTTCCCTTCTTCTTTTTTGTGATTTTTTTTAAAAAATTAATATTTGAAGTTGTATTTTTCATGAATATAAATGGAAGTTGTTTTTCTTTTTGCGGATAATTTAAAGTGAAAAAAGTAGAACTATTTTTTTGTTATCTTTTAAGTTCGTGAAAATTTTGGAATTCTAATCTTTTCAATAGTCAAATATGTGTGTAAATCTTTTAAGTTCGTGAAAATTTTGGAATTCTAATCTTTTCAATAGTCAAATATGTGTGTAATACTTTTTAACAAAATTTAACTTGAAATCAATCACCTAAACAAATGTATGTGTTTATAATAGAGAAAATGGTCAAAAGCCTTCCTAATTTAAATTCGGATTCTCAATTACACATTTTAATTTTACGAAAGTCCTATCACCCTCCTCCTGAACTATCTAAAACTGAAATAATTACCCCCCTTGAATGCTTAGCTGGCAAAGAGAGTATATTTCACTCTCTCAGAGAATGAGCACAAAAGGCAAATATTAAAACTTTTTTATTTATTTATAAATATATGTATTTATTATTTATTTGTTTATTGTCCTTCTTCTCCAGAACAATAAAGATTAAATTCCTCCACCATTTACTATCTCTAAACCATCATTGTCATCACCATCTTCACCGAATTTACCAATGTTGATTTCACACAAGCTTTTAGATTCTCATGTAAAAATAATTATACACCAATCAAATCAATTAAAAATTAAATGAGATGTATTTATATCACCTAAAAATGAGATTTGGATTAGATATATTCGTCCTCTCTCTTTCTCTCCCTTCACTTTTTTTAGTTTGTTTTAGGTTTCCATCTCTCCGCTACTCGACTGACCGGCGAAACGCCACCATTGTCGTCGCCTTCGCGAAACCCAAAACACCAGCAACCCCCCCTCCCCCCTCCCTCGGAGTTCCTACATTTCCTGTTAGATATTGGTGGGTGTACTATGAACCTATTCTTATACAAAACAACACAAATTTGATGAAGAACTGTAATTTTGTATCTAGCGTCTGAGGATTTCGCATTCGACTGCTGGCTGTTTTGAGGGGTAGCCTCCCCATCCCCTCTCTCTCTCTCTCTTGTTTCTCATGATCCAATTTTGAGGAACTTTGGTGTGTAAAGTAATTGTGAAGTTATCATAGGAATTTAAAGGAATTGGGAGAAGAATTTGCTTTAGGATTTGAAGAAATTGAATAAGTATAGGAAAAAGGGAAAAATAATTATAAGAGAATTGAAGAAAAATAATCAATTAATTAAATTTCCACATGTCAAACGCGTGAAATTTACAGGTTAATGTAGGTGTGGTTATGATTTTTCAGGGGTGTAATTATTTCAGTTTTAAACTATTTAGGAGGGTGATAGGACTCCCGTAAACTTAAAGTGTTAGTTGAAAATTCAAATATAGATTGAGGGGCTTTTGGCTATTTTCTTGTTTATAATACTTCCAAACAAAATTTCACTTGAAATCAATCACCGAATTTGAACTTTAAATTTGTGATTTTAATTTTTTGAATCTAAAATTTGAATCATAAATGTATATTTTATATTAAAAAACCCTCATAATTTTTAAAGTTTGCAAAAAATAATAATAATCAATGTTTGACATGATGTGAAGTAAACACTACTTCAAATATTAAACAAAGAAGTTCACTATATTTGGGGAAAATACCCAAGTACCCCCTCAACCTATGCCCGAAATCCCAGAGACACACTTATACTATACTAAGGTCCTATTACCCCCCTGAACTTATTTTATATGTAATTTTTTACCCCTTTTTAGCCTACGTGGCACTAGTTCGGAAAAAAAAGTCAACCATCGTTAGGCCTACAAGATAGTGCCACGTAAGCTAAAAACGGGTAAAAAATTATTAATAAAATAAGTTCAGGAGGGTAATAGGACCTTAGTATAGTATAAGTGTGTCTCTGAAATTTCGGGCATAGGTTGAGGGGGTACTTGGGCATTATCCCTATTTAATGAACTAAAATAGAGTTACAGAAGAATCAGAGGTGAAACATGGATTTTTACTAAGCACAATGCACAATGACTCCTTTGCTTACAAGGTCTATTCAGGATAGTGTTTCTTTTTAGACACAGAGCTTGCACTCAAAATCTCTAATTAAGAATGAAGCAGTTTTATTCGTATGTTTCAACCAAAAAAAAAGCGAAGTTATTTTCAATCAAGGGCAAATGCAAATGTGTGAAAGCTTAATAAACAAAAACCAAAAAATGAAAAGGATAAACTTTACCCAAAAAAAAAAAGGATAAAACCAAAAACAAAGTTACACCAAGTATTACTTAATTAAGAGAGGGAAAAAATATAATGCAAGATAAATTTTTAGAAGAAACTACCTAATTATACATCTATTCCTATCATAATTACTAATTCTTCTTTCGGTTTAAAATAATTATATTTAATTTCACTATTTGATTTTTTTATATCAAATTTCAAGTTAAATATACCTAAATGCATGTTATTTTGCTACTAGATATACTGAAATAGGGAGAGAGGTGAACGAGAACAGAAGGGAGGTGAGTGAGATTCGCCCATATACTTAGGATATTAGATTAGCAAGCAAGATATGCGAGTGGAGAGCAAGATGAGAGGGAGGCGAGTGAGATTTTTCCATTTATTCCAGAACATGTGAATTCACTTGAATACAATATATATAGAACAAATTACACCTAACTTTAACCCCATGAATCCGCGATACATGTATCTTGATGTATCTGAATGCACTAAAATCTAATAAAACTCGTAATATTACAAATTAGCGTATATTTAAATAATTAAGTCATAAACTAGTGAAAGTTTTGTAATCACTTTAGGAGGGAGGGTGAGAATATGGTCTTTTCAAGCATCCAAGGGGCATCATTGAGCTTCCACACTAAGACTAGTTTTGAACATCTTGCAATATTTTCAAATTAGATTGAATTATGACTTAATTAAAGTATTTGATAAATGGCCAAAAGGGCAAAGGCCATAACACTTTTGAGGGATTAATGCATTTGATTTTTATTTTTTTGTGGATATATGCATTGTTTACATTCATATGGAATCTTTTAAAGCATGTGATTTTATAACCATAAGAACATGCCTTGTTGGATATATATATATATATATATATATATATATATATATATATATATATATAACTACGCTCTCTTGTAGTTATTTCTAAAACCTCTCAAAATATTGCTTTACAATTTTGAGACGGATTTAAAAATTTTAATTTACGAGTTCTAAACTTTAAGAAGATAAATTTTATTCAAAATTATTAAGTTCAGTCAAGCCTATAATGAGAACTTTTACTCTATCTGCCTCATATTACTAATTAAACGTTTGAAGAAGGGATAATGCTCTAGTACCCCCTCAACCTATGCCCGAAATCTCAGAGACACACTTATACTATACTAA